AAATCATTATGAAGTTTTTGCTGAAAGGGCAAGTGTAGAAAAACATGTTTCTAAACAGAATAACAGTCTTTGCCATTTTTTTCCAACTCGCATACCATCTGGAAATTCTAATTTTTTTTCAAAGGGTAGGAAGGAAATGTGCTCCAGGCACAAATAAATGTTTACAGCTGAGTTATAAACCGAGAATGGTAGGGCTTAAAACACACAGGCTGGCAGTGATGGAACTCAAGCTGCAGTGAGACAAATAATGCGGTGTGGAGGGGGCCAACTTGGTGTACACATTGGCCCTTTGGAATAGGAAGACTGGCTTCCCACTGACCTCATCAAGCCAACATTTGGGAAGAAATTTTCATCTGGGGTTTGGTTAATTCTTAGAAGGTAAAGGGAAAAGGTGAAGTAGTTGTATTGTCTATCTTGATATTCTGAAGGTAGTTTTCCACCTTTGTTTTATTTTTCATTTTTACATTTTTAAAAATAAAGATGAGGTCTCGCTTTTTTGCCCAGGCTGGTCTCAACATCCTGGCCTTAAATGATTCTCTCACTTTAGGATCCCAAAGTGTTGGGATTACAGGCATGAGCCACTGTGCCTGGTTGGTCTTTACCTTTGGAAAATATACCCTCTTGTTAGATGTGACAGGCTATGGAAACTTGTTAAATGGAACAGCTGAGAGATGTAATGATGACATCAGTGACAACAGCTAAGACTCGTGGATCATTTATCACATGCCTGGTGCCACGTGCAATGTTTTACAAGGGTCGTCTCATTGATGATGGACAGCAAGCTTATGAGGGACTTGCATTTCGCTGATGAGAAATTGGAGGCTGAGAGAGAATAAAGGACCTGCTTACAGTCATATAGTTGCTAAGTGATGGAGATGGTGTTTGTATTCACCAGACCAGCTCCAAAAGCTTATATTATAGAGCATCTTCCAATGCAAAGTTACCAAGACTATATTATAACTAGTGCTTAGTCAAGAAGGAAGAAGTGATGTATTGGGAGTTTGATGTTCCCCTTCTGGTTTCCTATAACTTGCATAGTTATGGGAAGGTTCTAGAAAAGTGGAAATGGGGTTGGGAATGATTCAGAGCAGCAATTTAACTTTTTATTTTTATTTTTTTAAAGGGTCAGATGGTTAATAGTTTAGGCTTTTTGGGCCATATAGTTTCTGTGGCACCCACTCAGTTCCACTGTTGTATTCTGGAAGTAGCCACAGATAACAGGTAATAGTCATGGTGGTGCTCCATTAAAACTTGATTTATAAAAGCAGGCAGCTGGCGAGATTTGGTCCATGAGATGTAGTTTGCTGACCCCTGATATAGAGGGCAACTTGAATCTAAAATGAGTGATAGGTTTTGAGAATGATCCATGCAATTCTATACTTGAGAGTTTGTTCTTTCATAAAATCCGTACACAAATTGGGTACATAAGATGTGCCCTTTAAAAATCTCTTGTATACTTTCCCTGGACCTGGCCAATCAAACTGGATTCCCTTATGTAATCTGACCAGGTCAGATATTGAATCGTCTTTCTCCAGGCTTATCTAATCCCAGATCTACAGAGAAAGTTCTCCATGTCCTTGTAATGAAGATGCACGAGTTCATTCCTTTTAACATAGAAATACACGCAAGATGGTGAGTGATTCTGGCAGACTGTCTGTTCCCTCTTCTTGATGCGAAAGCCAATCACTGTCCATGTTAAGGTTTAATTGAAGGAGAGCAGAGGAAAGAAAAATAAGGCTCGAACAACAACAAATGAAAAAGGGAAAGGCAAAGACCAAAGAATGTACTTTCCCAACTAATTAATCAAGTGCTTTGTTTCCACTAGCATATCAGAGTGTGTAGGCTGCCCTGTCTATTAGACTTGCTCCCAAACCTGAAGAATGTAAATACTCCTAAAGACCAGGTAATGAAATCTCTATCGATGTGCCATCTAGATGGGACTCACATGTCTGTGTTTTGCTTACATTTTAATTTGCTTCTGCTGGATACTTAGCCAGTAATTGCTTAATGAGATTATCCTCCTTGGCAATGTGTGGTGTAGCTTGATTAAAACATTGGAGTGAAGGAGTGTTGTATACCAAAAAACGGAGGGGGTGTTATTTAATTAACTTATTGCCAATATATCTTGATTGTCTCTTTGAAACACTGGAAAAGTAGTCGATTGGAATTGATTCAGGTTATCTGAATGTATAGAATTGGGGAGTGGGGAGCAGGAGGTCACCGGGTATAGAAATTCAAACCTACGGTCACTTTTGATAAAAGAAATAGGCACGGGTGAGAGAACTCAACACATTTTAGTCATTTTATAAGCCAAACCTTAAAACAACTTAAGAAGAGATCTGATCTGTCTGTAAGTTTCAAATTTTATTTCACCTCTTAGAAATTTTAAATTCTCACACTTCTTTCTTAATTATTTTATCAATAAAATTCACTCGACAATGATTTGGCAAACATTTTGTCTGCCTCAGCTGGGCGCAGTGGCTCATACCTGTAATCCCAGCATTTTCGGAGGCCAAGGTGGGTGGATTGCCTGAGCTCAGGAGTTCGAAACCAGCCTGGGCAACACAATGAAACCTTGTCTCTACTAAAATACAAAAAATTAGGTGGGCGTGGAGGCATGGGCCTATAGTCCAGCTACTCTGGAGGCTGAGGTAGGAGAATTGCTTGAACCCAGGTGGCGGAGGTTTCAGTGAACTGAGATTGTGCCACTGCACTCCAGCCTGGTCATCAGAGTGAGACTCCATCTCAAATAAAACAAAACAACAAAACAAAAATTTTTTTTGTCTGTTTCATAACTTATTTGGAAAATATCTGAACTAGTAATGATTTACACAACATTTTCAAAAGCATGTTGCATATGAGGGGAAAAATTCTGGTCTTTCCAAAGACACAGTGGAAAGTGTTTCCTCATTTGTTAATTTAGAGACACATACCGTTGTGCTTTTAAGACTTGCTCTCTGGGTGTGGAATGCAAAAGGTGGTGCGGAGCAGAGGCAGAAATAGAGCCTTCCTCATAAAGGGGAGGAGTGCTTGATCTTGACCTTACTTTATGGAGGCCAGTAGAGGTCAGTGATTTCCGCTTATGAAGGACACTACTCAAAAAGCATTTGTATGTAACTTCAGAATGTATACACATATAAACAATGCCTCTGAACCGAATGACAGAATATGCATATTCATTTCACATGTGTACTCTGCATTCTTCTGAAAGGATGAGGTTCTGACTTGTAGATTAAAGGACATTTGTGGATAAAATGTGACCGAGACCCCATAAAGCAGAAACCCCAATAGGGTTTCCAAGGGCAATGCTATTGTCTGTCATCTTGGAAGGAGATAGTTCTTCATCACAGGGGCTGTCCTGTGTATTACAGGCCATTTAACATCATCTCTGACCCTATCCACTAGATGCCAGCCATGCCCACTCCAATTGTGACAATCAAAATAGTCTTCACATGTTGCCAAATGTCCTCTAGGGGTGCAAAAAAATGCCCTGGCTCAGAACCGTTGCCCTAGAGAAAACTGAAGGAGCAAACAGTGTCAAGTACTGGGGGTGACCAGCTCTCAAATCTGAGGTCCATAAATTTGTCTCTGGGCTTCTTGGTCAGTTAAGGTAGAACATGGTCAGTTAAGGCAAAATATACTTTTAGTTATAGGTCTAGTTTAACTTATCTGATAATGGAAAGCATATAATTTCATCCTCAGATAAAACTTTTTCATGCTTACTTAAAGGTAATTTAGTGCTACGATTATGACAGATGAGTACAGTGATTCTTAAAGACTGGATAAAAAGACAAAAAAGTCATCCTCAAAGCATTAGGACAGCTCTGGGGAGGATAAATGAAGCAGCATTAGCGTCTCAGGATGACTAATGTGTACCTCTGGGGGCAGATGAATTCTGGAATCTTCTCTGAGGAAAATGACTCCTTGAAGGAAAGCTCCAACATCCTACCCAAAGACACGCAGGGCACAGCTCTGAGTCCAAATTTGTACCTATTTGAGTAAATTTCTATAACCTTCTGGGCCTGAGTTTATAGAGAGATTTTTTCCTTCCTTTAACGTTATACAATACTAAGCCTGGCATGCAATAGGTGCCTAATAAATGCTACTTCTTTGAAATATCCCTGTAAGGTGTTTCCGAAATGTGGGGGTGAAGTGGCTATAGATGCTAAAAGGCAGAGTGGAAATTTGCACGTTGGAGAAACGCTTTAATACAATCTCTCCCTTGGAATTTCCATCCCGAAGGAAGCATATCTCACCCGTGCCAGTCTGGCTAACCATTCCTTTGACTGCTCTGTCTTTTAATTGCTCAAGTCTCACCTCCCCATGATTCTGTTTTCTCTCCTCCTTCTTAGCTCCTCGTTAGCACTTTTTTTTTTCTGCAAGGATACAGTTGCCTGATTGCTTCAATAAACATTTCTATTGTCCCCTTCACTGTTCTGAGAAGAGAAGCTTTGTTGCCGAGTTGTCAAAACTCCTTTCTATTCTCCCCCAAAGCAGAGCAGCTCCGAGCCTTTCTCTTTCATGCCAAGCCAGGCAGCTTCCTCCCCAGGGAGGCTGCATCTCTCCTCCTGGGAGAGATACCCAGTCTGATGGCATGTGCTGCCTGCTGCTCTCTGCCTTCTGATTAGGCAAGACTTTCTCCTGCTGCTGCTGCTGCTGCCACTCCAGCTGCTGCTGTGGCTGCTATTTCTGCATAGGCCTTGGGATGCTCTCAAGTAGCTCTGGACCATGGCAATTGCTGCAGAGAGCATAGGTATGCACATTGCTCTGAGCGGGCATCGCGCCAGCTCTGAGTGATCCAGCCAAATACAGCTAACAGACAGGAACAGCAAACAGCTTTTAATGGGGGCACCTATGAAAGGCAACGATTTCTTTTTTCCCCCTTTTCTTTTCCTTTTTTGCATACCTTCCAAGATGTGGACTAGAAAACCTGAACCAGCTGGCGCGAGCTCAGAATTTTCCTGTGACCTCAAGAGGGCAAGCAGCAGCTGTAACCTCACCTTTGCCTCCAGATGGCATTGTTGCCACATCATCGTTTCCTGGTAAGCCGGTCCTTATCCCATTGTTAAAGGTGTGCCCATCTGCAGGCTGGAGTTGCCAATTGAGTCCGAGCAGATGCATTGCTGCAGGAGAGACAAAGTAATGAAAATATGAATAGATAATTCAGCAATGCAAATGTCAAGGGGGAGGGCCAGGTGCCTTTTACCAAGCGATTGCCATTTAAGGAAGCTTCGTTCAAAAATGGCTTGCCCTAGGCTGCAGGGATTAGCTAAATACAGAAAGCAGAGATCTGAGTAGTTAGGTCTCCCCTTCTGGTGCTGGTGCTCACAGTCTCAGGGGGAGAGGATCCCTCATGGCGGGCTGAGGAGGGAGGAGAAAACACAGCCTGGATCTTCCAAATGGTACCACCAGGGAGGGGAAAATGGCCCTTTCCAATCACAGTAAAGAGTGCTGCTGCTCTACCTCATCCATCCTTTCCACACTCTGGATGCAATTGCTTTTAGACTGTTAGTCTAGGGGCATTGACAAGGACTGTTTTCTCCAAACTATACACTCACAAGTAAATCAGCTTCAAAGCAGGTTACCCAAATGGTCTGTTTGCTGGTACCTGCTCTGAACTCTCAGTGCAGCCAGCAGCATCTATAATGGTATTGGCCCATTTGAAAGCCCACATCCCTAAGTATTTCAAACTTTTAAAATATTTTTCCTTTCCACCCATCTTCATGATAAGTGGATACTTTTCAGCGCAGTGTAGAAAAAGCTTGGGGGGGGGGGTAATGATGGTGGAATGGGGTCCTTTTCTGAAAATATTACTATTCCTTCTCTCTCTGTTGCTCTCACTTTAGCAGAGTATTGGATGAAACAGAGCTCTGAAGTACCGCCCGCTCTTTGCTAAGGCACTGAGCACATCCGCAGAAGTCTTGACTCCCATGGGCACCCTAAGTCGTCAAACAGACTTCCGGTTTTCCTTGTCATCCTGGCTGCGCCAACTCCCCACCATGAGTTTAGCAAACTTAACATACCCCTATCCCTGATGGTTCTTGGTGAGTTCCTACTGAGTGGAACAAAAAGCAAACCCCAAACACTTCTGTATCCTTTCGAAGCCCTTATCTAAGACATGTTTCATTTGAGAATAGGTAAGGAATTTATTCCCCTGCATGTCTCTCATTCAAACGATGTCTCGCATTTCAACTGGACACAGGTTGACGCTGTTGCTTCGTTCCTATCACCGGGAGAGAAAGGGCTGTTGACAGGGAAAGGTTTGGAGTCTGATGTGGGGATGGGAGAAACAATTAACCGCAGGAGACACAATTAACAATGCTTAGGAAATTGTTCACACAGCAATTAATTCTGCAGGCCTACCACCACTTAAAGTCAGACTGCATTCTATTAAGGTTAAAAACCTATCTTCAAACAATACGGCTCAGATTGACGGCCACAGATGAAGGTGGCAAGGTGTCCGTGTGTGTGTGTGTGTGTGTGTGTCTGCTTTTCACTTACACTGTTCTCCTTCTTAGAACCATATTTTCTTTCTATATATTCCTCTGAAGTGCAAAGCTCACTGCTGTAACTTCTCAAGATGATAAATAGTAATAAGAGTAAGTGACATTTACTGTATATTTTCCATCAAGGTAACACCTAATTTTCTCCTGCAGTTTATCCGTTATATGTAGGTCACTTACTTGAAGGGACCAGATTCCACTGCCTCAAATAATGACATATTTTCACTGTACAGAGGTCAGGAAATGAGAACTAATCGTGGTGGCTTCAAGATAACGATAGCTTCTGATTTGTAATTACCAGGTGAAGGGAGCCAAGGAATTAGCTATTTTAAAATAATTTTTTTTTTAATGATACTGTCGGGTTATTGAAGCTCTCCTTGGGCCAGCTGCAACTGCACTGGAGATGTGGTTCTTTCAAGGAGGGTCTTGAGACAGACACTGACAGGTAGTGCAGGTACCACTGGAGCCCAGACCTTACAAAGCTTTGATTTCCATCTATGGAAGGAGCGGTGGGTCCCATCAGGCAAAGATGACAACCTCCCCAACACCCCATCCCAAACTCTAGTCAAAACTGCTCTGCTCTCATAGCACTCAATCTTGCCATTCTAAGGCACAGAACACATTGCAACTGTCAGCTTTGGGAGAAAAGCAAGCACACAATACCCTGATGTTACTAAACAAAAAGAGGCATCCCTGCAACTGTGTTTTCTCTGCTTCCAAGGATGCCTTCCCTCCTGCCTCCCCTCCCCACCTTTTTCTTTGTTTTGGGTTCCATAGCATCTTTTTATTTTTATTTTTAAAAAGTATCCAGAAAATAAGAAAACTGCAGATGAGGTGGAAAGGGTTAGGGTCAGAGGACACCAGTAACTTCTCAGACAACTCCCAGGAGTGAGAAGAAGAATAAGAAAGTGAGATAGAGGTGGGAGAAGGGGAAAAGCCAAATCTGCTGAGCTTGAGAACTGTCCTCCCAGAAACAGCAAAGCAACAAAAATGAAACTCAAGTTTGGGCATATTTTCTGTTGTTGAATCGAACATTAAGTAAATAAGTGAGAATTATATCGGGGTATAACCACCTTCTCTTGTTTTTTGGGAGTGTCTGAGATAGGTTTTTGTTGGCATTTGTTTTTTCTTTGATCAGCCATTCCTTCTTTTTCACTTGAGTATGAAAATGAGACTCTCTCTCTGGCCTGTGGGGAGGGACTAAAGTGTCCTTAGGATAAAGACCCCAGAGAGCTGTGAAGTAAATGAGTTTCCTGACTAATGAGAGCCCTATTTCTTACTCTGCTACTGATGTGCTGTATGGCTTGGGCTGAGAAATCAGTCTCTCAATCAATCTCTCCCTTTACCTTTTACAAGGTTTCCCTGTACAGGTAAAATAATGGCTCCTTAAGGGCCAGAGAGAGGTTACACATCTGCAACCCCCAAAAGATCTGACAGTGTCTTGAATATAAATGGCACCCATGAATATTTTTTGGAATAGATAATGATACACGGGGGGCAGATTTGGGGGGTTGGATTGTAGGATGTTATATGCTTATAAATTTAAAAATGCATAATCAGAGGCATAGAAGATGAGATAGAACAGTGCTGGTAGCAATATGGACTAGTTTGTGAAGGGAAGGATATGTTAATTATCAGCATATCAGCAGCAATCATTGAACCTTTTCTGTAGCCAGGTACCACAGTAGACATTCTAAAGGCATTATCTGAAGACTCAGAGGTAGGTGCTATTATCATCCCCATTTCACAGATAAGGAAACTATTGACTGTGAAGACTGATAACAGGGGGATTTCAGATTCAGAAGGCAATTACTGTGGGAGGTGGCTATCTGCTTCATATTTCATAGTGATCTGTTTACAGATTCTATGGGCAACAGAGTCTCAGCAAATCTCATCTTCATTTCAAAACTCATAAAACTCACTGGGGTTGATGAATGACCACACCCCTTCCTGAGAGGGGTTAGATTTCCTCATCCTGTTGAATTCAGCACATACTTTGTCACACAGTCATTCTGGGTCTTCAGTGAAGATGATGTGGGCTACAGCCATGGCTGACCAGTGATAGAATACAGCATGAGTGAAGATGTGAACTGTTACTGTTAAAAACCACTGAGAGTCTGGGGTTGTTTGTTACAGCAGCATGTCTGAGACTACCTTGACTGATATATTCACTTACAAGGAAACTAGGAAATGGCATATTTATACAGCAAGTCTCTGCATTCCTATAGGTTGTATTGGGTTAGGAGCCTTTTTGGAACTCAGCCAGAGAGAATTACACATACTTTGGGCCACTATATTTGCTTCTATGAACAACAACAAAAAACAGCACTTTAAACATGAGGTCATAATACCACCAAGTTTAGTTTATATCTCAGAGCCAGACTTAGAAATTGGAGCTGGATGAGGTGGCTCCCACCTATAATCCCAGCACTTTGAGAGGTTGAGGCAAGAGGATCACTTGAGGTCGTATGTTCAAGACCAGCCTGTGCAACATAGGAAAGCCCTATCTCTACAAAAAATTTAATTTATTAAAAACTATAAAGCTGAGAAACCTCAGAGTACCCAGAGTTATTGCTGCTTCCTCTCAAGATTTCACATAAATGCTGCACTCCTCAAGAGATCCTGGATGCACTGGGGCGGCACCCTCTCCTGCCCAACCTTGAATGCTCTAGCAGTTCATCCCAAAAGGCCTGGTCCAGATCATCTGAGGGTCAAAAGTGAAATGAGTTTGGGAGGCCCTCTCCCTAATGTTTCTCCCCCTCACTGACAGCCAAAATGTACAATTCATCATGATCTGACAGGCTCCGCTTCAGAGAGACCCTCGGGCTCCATGGGTCACCAAGGATGGGATGGGGAAGGACTCCAAGTGGAAACTCATGGAATCCAGGTGGCAGCTGGGAAGCCAGCCACTTAAAACACAATAGGCAGCCAAACTCTGAGAGCATCCCTCTGGCCAATTGGAGAAAACTTTTGTGGCGTTCGGAAAGGGAACCAAGACAGGATGGCGGGACCACACACAGATCCCCGATTTCAGTAGAAATAATAAACAGACCTACCTGGAGTGAAGGTTTGATTTTTTTTAATTGAAGTTGCTGTGTTTTTGTGCCAGGTGGGCTCCAAAGGCAATACTCCGAGGGAGTGACGCCAGAGAAAGGGAGTGGGGTTGGTGTCGAGTAACTGGGGATCCTGCGGCAACCATAGGACAGGGAGATTATAGGACCAGAAAAGTGGCAGCTTGGAACGTGGGTTGTCTGAAATAGTAATTAGGGAATGTGTGGGCCCTGCTGGGTGCCACTTAGAACCTTCTGTGTTCATTGGCTGGCAGAGGATCAACCTGACAAGGGAGTCAATCAATATGTCAGCAATACTTCCCAGAGAGCTGCTCAGACCCTGCTTGTCAAAGAGGGCAAACATGGAGGCCACGGATGCTCTGTGTTTGCTGAGCAGGTCCCCAGGAGCAGGGGGTGTCTTTAAAGATCAGGCTTGTCGATACATAACCCGAGGAGGAGATTGGGCTTTCCCTTTGAAAATGGAAGACTTCAGGCCAAGCAGAGCTTAGGGAACAGGGGAGAAAGCCATGCCTGCTGGGTCTTGAGGCTTAGCATGCCATCAGATTCACA